TCGATGCATTCCAAGGGAGGGTGTGCTGTGAAGACGGGTTGGTTTCCTGTCAGCAAAACGCGAAAAGAGGTCCAGGACCGGTCTGTGCAAGGAAAGCACACGAGCCAAGAAAGGCCATTGTGAGCTCGACTCTAAGCAAGGCTTTCGAGGCAGACAAGGAGGCAGCTGGGCCATTTTCAAGGTCACCGAGGATCTGAAAATCTCGGAACCAGCATGGTACTTGCAGTTCAGGCTGCAAGCTAAAACCAAATTGGTTGTGGCTGCATCTTGCGAGGACAAGCGGAGCCCCTGGATATGTGCAGCTAAGCCACAGCTTCTAGCAAACAACCAGGAATGTAATGTGGGGGTGAAGAAAAAAGATAATGCTCTATCTGCTGCAGCCCTTGCCGGAGCTAGCCTCGGCGACGAGGGATTAGTTGACTTCTCGTTCTCCATCTCAGTTATTAACCATGTAAATAAATTGTTGTCGTTTTTACGAGCGCCTCATCGGACTTGTTCGACGATGGGTCCTAGGACGGGGGCCCGCTACCAAACTGAGACCCGCAGGACCCGGAGTCGCGACAGTGCATACGATAAGACCTCCCCGCATGTTAGAGCGGCCTTCGTAGGCTCAAGCAGAGAGGAAACGCACCGCCTGTCTTAACGAGCGTGAAAAGATGAGGGGGGCGGGGGCTCCTCGAGCAGGTATACTGTGAACTTTCATTTCACAGTCGTGGATGCCATCGCTGGCCCCCGCGGTATCTCGCAATATCTCGGCGGTCATCAGGGCCGGCTCGTGCACCCTGCCACGTGCTGCACTCTTAACGCAATGAGACAAAAGTGTCCCCGCTAAAAGTGACCCTGGAGCGGCCGTATTCGTTTACACCAGCGTTTTGGGTATATACTTGCGTTAGATCAGATCCAAAAAAGTTAGCTGCCAGCCTCACTTCTCACTTAGTGTAAAATTTGTTACTGTTGCCTTCATTGATTCACCCTTGCGGTGATACTGGGACTTCCTTTAGTTATACATAGCGTTCACGTGACGTCACAAACAGGTTATCTGCGTTGGGTACCTCAACATGGCGGCCACCGTGACCCATTAGGGCGTATCGGTGCATGCGGGGGAGGACACACACAGTCGTTCGGTCCCCGCGTTCTCTCTACTCGTCTTCTCTTCTCCAGCCGCCCCGCCAAGAGTGGACGTAGGTCCCCTCACGTCCTTTTGTGCACAAAGACACGTGAGAGGACATCGGCATTAATCTGCTGGTACCCCAAGATGGCGATCACAATGACGTCAATGAGAAGCAGAGACCAGATTTTAGGCCAATGCCTATTTTGTTTCTTGCGTTCCTCGCCCCCCACTTTGATATATGAGTATGATTAATGGTTAAGAAGGACTTTTATGGGGGTTTTATTGTGCCTAAAAATGACTATATGTTTGGGCGCTTGTGCTTAAATGCTTATGATACGTATATTCAATAACGGTGCCTATGTGAACGCTACCTAAAGCCTTTGGAGACTTTATTCGTGTCACTGGGAGCTCTAGGAAAATGGCAGCTAGCAGCAGTGAAATAGGGCGCGCCTGTCTGCATACGCCACCCCGCTAGGGTGGCTAGCTACAACCACGCGGTCACGCCTCATTGTGCACGTGCAAGAATCGCCGCCGTTTCTGAATGACTAGTAGCCGAAAAAGAACATACTATGTTACAATTGAATCGAATTGAAGTTTATTTTGTCCTGAAATTCTTACAGGATCGGGAGCAGAGGCTAAAGGCTATATAGCCTGACATGGGGACTCTGCTCCTAAATACAGTTTGGCACGCAGGCCGCTCAATCTGTCGCATATATTTTCAGAAATAAATATATAACACAACAATTAACACACAGCAATAAATAAATAACACAATAAATAAACCATAACACAACAAAGTTTAGCATGATCTTGTCACACTATTTCAGGGAAAACATTAGAAAAATCACTTTATCACAAAAGCGTCATCAGAAAAGAAACTTCCATACAGAATGTAAAATGAAGCATAAGAAAAGCAACTACAACACATAACTCAAATTGATAGATAGGATGTAACAAATCAAGTACAGAAACTTTAATGAGCATACTCAATATCATGGTTCATTAGGATGGACTTGATGATGGCGTTCGAAGGTACGGAATTGAAATCTATGAGACCGTGTAAACGATTTAACATTGTGGGTATTTGATACTGAACGTGTTGCCTGCCATAACTTGTCCTTATTGCTGGGATTTTCCGGTGTTGCTGACGCATATATAGTATAATGAGTGTTGTCAGGCGGGTTCTGCATACACTGTGGCTTGTTTTGTTTAATCCACTGCAGAAGTTTGAAATGATACAGTTTTGTTATTGCTAATAATGCGTATTTTTCAAAGAGTGGTTTGGTTTTAAAGTCCCTGATAATACCATGGTATTGCTCGAATGCTCGCAAAACTCTTTTTTGCAGAACTAGTAATTTTTGATAGTTTGTTTGTGTAGTAGTACCCCATACCAAGATACCGTATGTCATTTTAGAGTAGAAAAGGGCGTAATATAATTCTATTTGTAACCATTGTGGTAAGGCTGGGCTGAGCTTATATAAACATCCAACGATCTTACTGAGCTCTACCGTTAGTTTTTCTATGTGTGTTCCATGTCAATCCCTCAGAAAACCATACACCTAGGAACTTCTGGCTGGTGACTTGTTCTATGTCTTTGCCCTGAAATAAAACAGTTGAACTATAGTTACTCGGCTTATTAGGTGGGGCAAAGACCATGTATTTCGTTTTGCTAACATTTAGTTGCAGTTTATTCAAACTAAGATACGCGGACAACTTTCGTAGGTAGTTATTAACCTGGTGTTCAAGGTCTAGAATGGATGTGCCGCTAAAGAATATGTTAGTGTCATCTGCATACATTATTAACTTGGGAGAACATGGGATATCACACAGGTCGTTTATATAAATTATGAACAATAGAGGACCAAGAATTGACCCTTGTGGTACTCCTCTTGTTATGTTTAAGTAAGTGGACGCACTTTTGTTTATGCAAACATATTGATGGCGGTTTGTTAGATAGTTTTTCATTAACTCAAGAACCACACCACGTACACCATACTTGCTAAGTTTAGCCGTTAGTACTTCATGACATACCGAATCAAACGCCTTTCTAAAGTCTATGAACAAACCTAGTGAGTACAGTCTATGTTCGATGTTTGTGATCAGTTCATGTTTAATATTAAGCAAAGCTGCTTCACAAGATTTATTTTTTTGAAAACCATACTGAGCCTCACTGATCACATTGTACTTGTCAAAAAATTTGTACAAGCGTACGTTTATTGCATTCTCAAATGCCTTAGATAAAACAGGAATAGATATTGTACACAAGTGAGGTCCTTAAAGAAGTTGTAAACGGCTTTGATGATGAATTAAGCCAGTTGATCGTCATCAGTCCAGCAACATTATGGGACAATTACACGTTTATGTTGAACTGTTGGCGCCTTTGTACCATCCAAAACAACACTTTTTTCTTTGTTTTCCTGTCTTAGATACAATTCGAGCACGTCTTCGACTTTAAAATTATTTACCTTTATTATAACACTTATTGTACCTAAACTTAAGACGTTGGAGGCCTAAAAGGTTGTTTCGCCTGTCTATCTTTGGCGCAAACGTGTTTTTTTTTTTTTCTGATGCCTGAAAAAGTGGCCTTCAGTCATAACCATAGTTAGAACCGTAATATCAGGGATTTTACGTCCCAAACCCACGATATGATCTTATGAGAGATGCCGTAGTGTAGGGAACAGAAAATTTCGATCATCTGGTGTTCTTCGACGTACGTCCAACTGCCACTTCTAGCGCATTTCGTCGCCATAGAAATAAGAACTCCACGGCTGGGATCGAGTCTAGGCCTTGGGGTCAGGAGCCAAGCACCAGTGCTACACCGCTGCGGCATACCGAGGCGTTCTGCAGGATTCTGCCGCTGATCCATGTCAGTATTTGCAACACGGTTACGAAAAAGACCTGTCACATCGTGGCAACGTCAATTATGCTTGCTGGGCTCGCTATCGGCTTTGATGTCGTCACAGCTGCAACTCGTATACTCATAAAGTTTACAGATGCAACTCATATATGACTCGCCATTCGCCATTGCTCATCCCAGAGGAATGCAACAAAAAAACTGAAATATGTGCTTTAACGTGAGTATCGACGTATAACATTTGGGCGCCAGTGCAATCGAAGCCCTCGATACTGGTAAGCCCACGATCAGGCTCGTAGCCAAGGGTGGGAGGCCTATCCAACCCCCTCCCACGAAGTCGCTCCAACTCGAAATGTTTGGATCAAACCGAAAACGAATACCAGGTGGTCGAAATTTGCGGAGCCCTCCACTACGGCGTCTCTCTTAATCATATGGTGGTTTTGGGAAGTTAAACCCCTCAAAACAATCAATCAATGAATCAAAACGAAATACCAGCAATCGCCCACTACTTCGCCTGATCCCAGAACGTGTGAAATTTGTCGCTTTAGTTTGCACTTTAAACTCCTCTGCTGATCGAGATTGCAAGACGGGGCCCAAGCGTACCATGAATGATTCGATTTCTGCTATACAACTCGATCAGTTCAAATATTGCACGCAAAGTAGCATTTAAATAATAATAAAAAATAGCGGGAAGAAATAAAATAATTACGAGCCTGCCAGGATTCGAACCTGGAATCTTCTGATCCGTAGTCAGACGCGTTATCCGTTGCGCCACAGGCCCCGACGGGATCAGCAATGTTTAAAACTTTTTTTAAAGGTATTGAAAACGTTTGTTCAGTTATTTTAAGTAATAAGTTATTGTTTGCGGTTTAAAGATATAACAAGTTGTGTAGAGTGACGTGTTTTACTATTTAAAGTACAATAAATCTTGCGGATGGCAGCAATGAGTTGCCTACGTTGTGCAAATACGCTGAACTTATGGGCTGCTTGTGGGCATCGTGATAGGCATTGACATCATCTGTCTATTGAAAACAGAAAGGCGCACTTTTCTAGCGCATTTCTGATTACATTTCAGGTATTAGACGCCTTCGACACCTAATGCGTTCATTTGATGGAACATTCCGCCAACAAGCGTAGCAACGCAAATGGGTAAGCTGCTGTCTCTAACGCTTAAGTAATCGACAAAAAAAACTGGATGATGATCCCACGAATGATTACAATTTCGCTGCGCTGATATTGGTGCCGCTCATTTAAATGTAACTTATTCACACGTAAGCTCGCATGAAGCAGTGTATTGCGCCCGCTTTACTCGACTAATACTCCGTTTTATACGTGTAGTCGGAATCGCACTTCTTTTAGAGCACCGAGTCGGCCGCTTCAGCTGCCTTTTTTTTGCAAAAGTATGCAGGGACGGACGACATAATGATACCGAGCGTAGCAGCACCGCATGCTGGGTCTTTGTGTTACAATTTAAGCATGAACAGAAGCTTGTAGCTAACGCGGGGTGGCAGCTGCGGGTGCTAACAACGTCCGCAGCCCCGCGCTCGTTTGCCTTGCTTATCTGATTTGTCGTTGGTAACCATGTCCTTCCGTTGAGTTCACGTAGACTGATGCCGTTCTGAACCTGTTTTCCTGAACGTTTCAGCGAGTGTTCGTCGTTCTTGTGGAACCAGCTGGTGTCCGGGGCGCCCGTAGTGCTCGGCATCGATGCCTACAGGTGAGAGCGTTATTACTTCCTCGACGTCGCGTATTCCGTAACTTTGAATTCAACTTAATGCATCGTCGTTGACTTGCGTTTGTTGCTAGCTCTTCTGGAATTCGTATATCAACTCAGTGCGCTCAGTACGAAGTGAGAACGGCAATGTTGCTTCACATCCCAGCCGTCACGTCATGCACTGGAAATAAAATGACCGATCTTAAAAGCTAGCAAAGGCGGCGTGTTATTAGACTTGTGAATAGTGTTGCAAGGGAATAATACGCTTTCACTTTGCTACAGTAAACGAAGATGCATGGCGCATGGGAGCCGTTATGAAATGTGTGAGAACGTTGTTCAAAATAATAGCATAAAGTTGATCTTACGACTTTGCAGGGAACCATTATGCTCAGATCAGGTTGGTATAGTTGTGCGTATATACACTGTGTGCAGTGGTATCGCTTAGTATACAATAGAGAGAGGCCGATTGATGAAAAATGGTTCTTCGGATAACAGTGCTCTGCAAATATGTTGATCAGGCTTCAAGCTGGGTGGACACAAACCACTGGCAAGGGTGAAAATGATGTTATTCTTCTTTGAAACACATTTGATAATTACAGCTTTGCTTGCTTCATGCTTAGGCCTCCTGCTGTCAAGGTTAAAGAACAGGTGTTGAATGCTGCATTCCGGACGGCTTTAGAGAAGCGTGCAGAGCAGTCTGTGCTCTCTTCGTTGGCTGGCACAGTGCAGTTTTCTGCTGGTACGTAGGCACGATTTCCTTTAGCACTTGGCCTGTGCTTCTAAGCAAAAGTGGCTGAACATTACCATATCCATAGTAACAAAGAGTAAATGCATATGTTTCATTGATTGAATTTTTTTGTACTATACAAGGCACTACTTATGGGTCAGAGCAAAAGAAGGTGATTGATCTGGCAAGGTCCTGCTTGTGCTGTGCATACCAGCACTGTTTATATAAGTGTGCATCATCAAAAGTAGTACAGGGAAGCTATAGCTCGCTTCGTTATATAACAAAATGATGTGAACTCCTTTCATTTACTGAGTAGCGGGTACTGATGCTACCATTTATCATATGTGAAAATGGCATAATTGCAACACAGTGTACAAATATATTATTGAGAGGCAGAAGGCACCAGCACTTCAGTATGTACAAAGGACTGCCATTCACGATATCGAAACCAAATTTAAAGAATTTTTCAAATTTGAAAGAGTAGCCAAATCATGAATTTCACATTTTGAGGAGTGGAGCACATTTGTGTCACTTAAGCAGTGGCTTAATTTGAAGGTCGTTAGTTCAGATCCCACTGATGGAAACAGCCATTTTTTTACACTTTAATTTATTTTAAAATATATGAGAACCATTACACTGCAGTTAAGAGACAACAAGTAATGTCCTCTATGCAGTCCTTGATTTAATTGTCTGTTGGTTTCTTTAATTAGGTATGTTTTACTTAAATCATAAAATATATCCTTGGTTAAGTAGTGACGAGTGAATGCACTGATATTTGAATGAATGCACTGACGAGTGAATGCACTGAAATGATATTTCTCTCCTATCCATTCCTCATAAAGTACTCTTTTCAGGCTCATTAACGACACCTACAGGCTATAAACATTTAATATTTACTCTGCTCTGACAGCATAAATGCCAATTTGATTACTGTGTACCGTTGCTCATGAAGTCCCATGACAACCGTATGTTTCAAGCTGAGCACCTCGTTTCACTTTCAGAAAGTGATGGCATCGTCATCGTGCTTGACCAGGTGCCAGGCTGCACTCCATCTCTATTGCGTTCGAACGTCATCCAAGTTCCCTGCAAGGTGCCGTCATTTCAAAAGACTGCATTTGTTAGAATAACGATTGTGGACTGCCTCCAGAGCAAATTCTAGAGCTGAATTCACTCAAAGCTTAACTGTGCGGGAACACTTGCATCATTTCCCATACGTTCATCACAATTCTATTCAACCTAAAAAGAAGCATCGTAAGCACATTGTTTAGAATAACAGCGAGCAGAAATAGTACGTATCCATGCTAAGAAACTGGCCCTGAAAACACCGACACGAGAGTACAGTCAAGATGCCACAAGCACCGAACAGCAACACAGGAACATAAGTTGTAAGTCGGGGTTTGTGGTGGTCTGATGACTTTCTTGTGTTTGTGCTTGCACACCCAATCTTTCAGCTAGGTATGCCTATTTACATACAGTAATCTTTTTTTTATTACTATTCCTGTTGTTCTTGATTTACTGAGCTAGGATCACTTTTATTGTCATTCTTTTGCATGATTCTGTCACCTTAACGTCACTTGCATTTGATAATATTCTAAGTTATCTATAAATCTCCCAAGTTTTTACAGTCGAATGCCACAGCTGCAACTAATGTTACTTGGATGAAATTTGCGCTCCAGCAAAGCATTTCTTATTCCCGTTAGCTTGCCATAATAGTCAATACATCAAAGTTCTCACCACAATGAACCATTTTTCTGGCTTGTCTTCACTTCAAGGCAACTTTCGCTCAATTGAGCTTGACTTGAAAACTTGTTTGATGAAAAAGTAAGCATATAGCCAACCGTGCAACTTTTCGTACATTCACAACATCCTGTTTCAATGAAAATAGGTACCCATTGCACCACCTGTAAGCAAATTTGTAGGAAGCCATTGTTTGGTGGTGGCGATGATGTGGCTGTCACCCTTGGGCCAACTGACATAAGCATCAACAAATACATTGCCTTTGACAAAGACAATATTGCTCGTGACGAGCTAACTGAAGAGGCAATCACGTGAGAGGTTTTCCATAATGACGCATTGTCGGACGATAAGAGTGACACACAAGCAGATTTCGCCACAATGAAATTTCCACTTCAACAAAATTTCACGCTTGTCCAGTCAGTTTCGTTGCAACGAGGTTCGACTGTAATATGTTCATCTGAAATATGCGTCAGCTGTGGTCATGTTAACTTTAAGCAAGTCGCACAAATTTAGCAACCATTTATAACTTCCGAGCTGATCTAAGTGGTTCATTCGCTGTGCACCGATTGGCAGCAGTGTTATGCATATGCACTCAAACCTCTATATAACGAACCCGGATATAAAACAAAATATCGGTTATAACAAAATAAATGAAGAATATTCTTGTAATGAATACACTTTTAAGAATAAACCTTTATAATGAATTTTCGAATATAACGAACTTAGTTTTGTGTAAGATGCAGCTTTATTTTATAATGAGGTTCAACTGTAATGGCAGTTGCATGCAAGTACACAGCCACAGAGTGTGCTTTGGTGATGCACCACTTTTCCAAAGTTCTACAATACATATAAAATATCTCATTTCAAATACAGGCATACACACAACAAGAAGCAAACAGAATAGACATTTCTGATTATGAAGTTTTAAAAAGGGTAATGTTGTGACCCTCTCTCTGGAAACGATTCAATGGCATTTGGAACAAGTGCAGTTCCTCAACATGACCTGACGATCCATGGCTACCTGCAACTTGCTGAAAGATTTTATACGTAATGTAGGTGCACTTTACCTGTGTATTACTTGAAGACATGTGCTAGTAAATCTATCTTGTTTAGTTATGCTCAGATTAACCAATGTGGTATTTAATTGTATGAGGCATTTAATAAATAATTAGCCCTTGTGTTGTGTTGCTTACTGCATCCTGTCTCTGTTCAAGTGTACGTTACTCCACTCGCATTTTGTGCTAACTATCCCAAGGCACTCTTCTCGACGTGGCCCTGTCACTAACCTTTATGTTCTTATGTTAACGGCCATACAAATCATGTTCATAACCTACGTGATGACTAGAGTCTGGATTTGGGGCAAATACCTATTTTTTCCCCTGCATTCCTATTGGGCCACTTTGATATATGAGCATGAATTGGAGCCAAGGGAAGGCTTTTAAGGTGTTTTTACTGTGCCTACAAATGCATATTTTGAGTGACTATTTAATGTGAATGCTATTCAGCCTTAAGTTAGGCTTTTGGGTGCATAAACCATTATTTAGGTTATCGGGCAACATTGAAGGTGTTCAACTTAGTTCTCTAGTTAAACCGATTCCCAAAAAGCAACCGCTAGCAGCAGTGAAGTGAGGCATGCTGACATGGCATGTGCGGTTGATCAATTAACAACTATAGACAGCTGTAAAAGGCAAACATTGTGCAGAGCAAAAGAAGGAAAAAAGATGTGATGTGCGTTCGGCTTTTGTTTCGTTTGTAATTTGATTTTTAAGGTGCTCGCTGCCAAGGGCGAAATTGACTGTACATGACTTGACCCTACCAATAAGTGGCATCTATCCCTTCTGGCACTTTGGTGGCCAGGCCATCTGCTCCGGCTCTTCTTTTCTCGGCTGCACTCGAAAGAAAGACACCCAGCAGGAGTGTGCAGATTCCACAGTGGACACTTGACTCGCCATGCTACAGAATAAATTGGAAGACCGTGTTTGGCGAACTGTGTAGCAAAAAGGACAGCTGCATGGCTCTGTTCGGCTGTTGGCATCTTTGTTCCATCACAAATGTCTTTTGTTTTCCTGTCATAGATACAGGTCGGGCACATCTTAATTTGAAATGATTTGCATTTATGTAAAAATTTATAGTGCCTATAATTAAAATGTTGAAGGCCTTGTTTTGCCTGCTTATTTTTGGCAGTTAAATACACTTAAAACATGCTTTTTCTAATGCTTAAAAATCTGGTCACTAGTGATGCGCCCCCACTCGTTGTTTAGCACTCTTTCTACTATTTCATATACAAGGATGTTTCAAGTCCTCTATACCATCATTTTTTCTGCTGTCTCTTTTTATTTATGAATGCATTCCAATACATTTTCAGTTTGACAAAGTGACCCAAGGAAGTGGTACCGCTAATTCAAGCAAGGAGGAATGGTTGGCCAAGTTGACAGTAAGAACGAACCTCGTGTTTACTAGTTGCAGCGTTTGGTTAAAGTACTTGGAGTAACTAGCACAAATAGCGCTTTGCCGCACAATACTACTGATGCACTAATGTAGACAGGACAGTTTTCTAGAAACTTTGTATCATTGTTGTCTGTTAATAGTTTATGTTTGCATTTATTGGTCACCATATCCCATTAAAAGTGTGTTGTGCCTGTATTTTATTTGCCCAGTTCTGTATTACGCAGTCTTCCATGCATTATTTGGAGAAGAGTGTAAAAAAATTAACAAAATTGAGGCAGGCAAGTAAAATTTATTCACTTTACAAATTAAAATGACAGTAAATTACAGAAAGTCATTGTACCAATAAATACGGTCACATCGCCATCGAAGGACAGAAAGGGATCTATCCTTTTGCATTTCACTTGTTTAGTGAAGTCATCAGCTGCTTTGGCATTGTGGCCTTTTCAACAACAATTCGTAAACATTTTTTGTGACTGACAATTTATTGAAGCCGTCTTGAACCGTAGCGCTTTACGAACGTTTGTGTCGTGTGATCCTTGTTCGATGACCAAAAAAAAAGAAAGCTTTGTATGTGCTATCATTTGTTTGTGCTGATGTTTTTTCAATAGTAGCTAGGTACATAGTTCTCAATTTTTGCTCTGTTATTTATACATGCTGTAGTTGATACCACGGCCACAAGATGATGCTACTGGTGCTATTCCATATGCTGTACAATTATCTCGTATGTGCTGTTAAATAACCATGGTGCATGTACTGATGAGTAAAGCAACCTAAAGCTCTCCAGTAAGTTGCTCACATGGTGCTATTAAGTAAGTTGCTAACTGTGGGGCTATTTGTCGTCCTGTATGATGATACACATTGCAAGAGCCTCAATAGCAACTGGGCCTAGAATTACATATGTGCATGCACCGGAAATTTGCACAGACTATTGGATAGCACACCTATGACTTAAATTGTACAGATTTTTCATTTCTATTGCTGAGACCTTTTAGTCATTTTAAAGGTACACTTCCTATTATTGCATATAAGTGGCTACATGTAAAAGAATCGCCCTGTATAGTGGGGCGTTCACGCTGAATAATTCAAATTGAAAAGCTTAAACTTATGTCACATACCTTCAGCCTCACATCTGCCATTGAAAATTGTTGGTGTCGAATCGAGGTTACTTTGATCTCGTTGCATTTTTTGCTGCTGAAGCACTGTCGGCTACTCTACCTGCCAACTATCCGAGTTGTCCAGGAGACTCCCGAATTTTGGCCTAATCTCCCGTTTGCACCCATGCAACTCGTATCTGCTGAAAAGTGGCCGGCACAGCAAGGCATTTTATGTCTTTTTTTATTAATTGCTGCGGAAGAGCACTTGCCACTACACTTCTGTTTAGGATGACTGCCATTTGGGCGTGTTCGTAAAGGTTCATGATGAAACACACACTCAGAGAGGACACAGACAAGCGCTTGTCTGTGTCCTCTCTGAGTGTGTGTATTTTTGCGCTTGTTTCATCACACACTTCTGTAGTTCATTGTAACCATATCATAGAGTACCGCTAGGTATATGCTAGGACTGCACATCTGGCCAAAGGCCACAAGACGTGTTTGCCACCGTACCCAAAGGAGGCGAAGGAAAAGGTACCACAACTTTTGCGTCTCTCTGTCCGTCTTCATCTCCGCATTTTGTACGCTAGGCCTAGGAATCTGCCCTTGCATCAGTTCCGTTTGTCGTGCGTTTGTTACGTTGTTGGGGAGGGGGGGGGGCGTATTCCTTTGTGTTCAATTGGAAGGTCCACGGCAGTGTCAAAAGCAAAGAAGAAGTACTTGCAAGTGTTTTTGAACTGATTCACAGCTGAGTTTCCGTGATTAGTTCCGCGAGTTCCGTGATTATCTACCACGTGTGCCTGCGGCGTAAGTGTTTTGCACGGCAGCAAGGCCGTCGTAAAGGTGCACATCGCTTCACAGAAGCATCAGAACTATGTTTGTGCTGCGGAAGGGCAGGGCAACACCGGAGGTTTCTTCCAAAATAGGAGTGAAGAAAATGCGATGCGCGCAAAATGCCTATTCACGGAATTTCTTGTGGAACACAACTTGCTGCTAAGCGTTGTGGATCATGCAGAACCGTTGCTTTGGAAAATGTTCCCAAAGGGCGAGGACGTTAAGCGATGTGGACGTATGAAAACAAACTGCCATCGTCGAAGAAATGCCTGCAGATGTCGAAAACACTGGTTGAAGCTCAAAAACACCACGTTTTCGCAACCACAGTAGATGGAAGCAACGACAGTGTGTCGCAAATGTCTCAGCCTCAGTAATTTCCGGTATGCACCCCCCTCCCCACCTCCCGCACACTCACGGCAGTCTCCCGAATTTTCATGCTGCTAGGTTGGCAGGTATGACTAATAAAAAGTAAGATAAAAACACTGTGCATAACTCGAGTACTTAATCCTGTTTAAAGACTAGTGAAAGCTGGACTGATTGGCAGCTTCATGTTTCTTGGGCACTGATAGTGATGGTGTAATTAATAACACTTCTAAAGCCCTTCACTGAAATGCGAGGGCCGTTCTGAAGGCAGGCATTTCCCCCTATTATTGCATTTTAGTTTCACCCACACGTGTACAGTGCCATTTCTCACACACTTGCTGCTACCCTTTGGCTAGACTGTTATGCAAATAGGAGTTTTGTATGTGCACTGCTCATGTGCACATACAAGTCTTGTATGGGAAACGTCTGGCTTGCTCACCATCAAAATTTTTCAAGGCGGCATGTTCATTTGTACGACATTTCACTTCCTGCTTCGCTATCAAGACAGTCAAAAGTGTGCATCGGGAGTGGTGACAGAAGACAAGGCATAGCATCACTGTATAGAGCAGCGATGCCTTCTTTCATTTTAAAGAAAAAATGAAACGGGCTCACCAGAAGCACCCAAGGTAGTGAAAGTTAGACAGTAACTTTCCACTGTGGTGTTATTTTGAGACCTCAAAGTCAACTGATCAACCAATCGACAAAGGGTAGATAGGCAAGCTAGTTGGTATAGGTTCGTTATGAACACTTTGCCGTGCAGACAAAGAACGCAAAAAGAGTGGGATACAAGTGCAGGTTGTGCCCTCTTTCTGTGTCTCACTTGTTTGCACTGCTTAGTTTCTGTAATGGATTAATGAATCAATCAATCAATCATAGTTTGCCACAGTGATCAGAGCTCTCTCTTATTCTTGCTTTACTGTATGCACACAGACCTTTGAGGATGCCTGGCACTATGCATCACTGGAATGTGGGCTGGGCTTCAGTCTGGCCGTCACTGTTGAGATGGCTGCCCGCATCAAGGGCCCTTCTTGCGACCTTACCGTGAGTGCGGTGACCCCTATGCTTCCACTGCGCCTGGTGCCCCTGTTCCCAATTCCAGTTCTCAGGAGCGGTGTCCAGGATACTCTGTCCTCACCACACGCCGCAGCACTGCCTGACTTTGGGTACTAGTATCATGTCTGCATCTTAACTGTGCATTTCAAAGCATTGAGGTTGCAAGTGTGAAGGGAAAGCTGAAGTGATTTGCAGGGTTTTGTTTCTTTAGCACTGATAGTGATGGGGTAATCAATGAATAACACTTAGGCATTTATTGAAATGTGAGGGCTATTCTGAAGGCAGGCATTCTCCCCTATCATTGCATTTTGATATCCCCTACACGTGTGCGGTGCCATTCCTTGCACACTTGCTACCCTGTGGCTAGAGTGTTATGGTGCCTTAGGAAATTGCAAGTGTGGTTAGAACCAGAATGACTGAATAGTTTCGGCTAACTTAAATTGCAATTCTCTTGAACAAAAAGCACACCTGAAATTGAACCAATACACGTTACAGTGAAACATTGCCTGCTACAGTTATGGTTTTTTAATTAAAAAATGCCATTAGTTGCATTTTCCCATTATGGCACCAGGAAAGTCATTGAGAAGTTACTAAGATCTACTGAATTGTATTTTTATTGCTGTCCTCCCAACCTTTATTGATTATTTACTAATAGAGGACTAAATAGAATAAGCTGGCCTCAATCTTTTAGTGCATCCCTGAAAACTCTTGTTTCAACTTTTTCGTCTCACCTTCCTTTGTGTTATTTTCAAGATGCTGGCAGTTACTATGAAAACTTGCCTTAATTGCTCAGCAAAGGCAAAAATGGTGTTCTTACATATGAACCCCATCAACACAAGATCGTGGTTACTCATGGGTGCAATGTTTGTTGATGTCGGCATCATCCATTATGCACAGCGATTCAGTGTTCTTGGCTGCTATGGTACTTGTGGCAGGTGCAGATAAAAATTGGAGAAATCGTCCATGGTCGATTTTCTTGCATCAGTGGCCATCGAGCCATTATAGTGCCCGGAATAAATTGCCAGCTAATATCGGGTTGAGCGTTAATGTGAGTAAACAAATACTGAGCACACTAATAGAATGTGCAGTTCCTCAATGCCGCAGCAAGGCAAATGTTCTACTGTACGGTTCCCACCAAATTCAAATTTCCAAGGCCCTGTTCCCTGTCATTGCTTATCTGGGCCATGGTAGCATAATGACATTCATAACTGGTTCCTGAAAAAAGCAAATGAATTACAGTGAAAGATGCTTTGTAAAAAAGTGATCAGTAACAGGACTACTAAAAGTTGCAATTAACATAGTGCGTTTCGTCAGATGCCTGTTCGCATGGAATGCACTACGCATTTTTGGAGACTTTTGATTTGACCTGTTCTGCGAAAATTGTTCGTTCTGTCTCAGCTGCAGTAAAAAAAAGAGAAACATGAATTCATGGTGATACCATTGTGACCAACATATTTCCCTTTTAGGTTTGTCACTCTCTGTGGGGACCACTTGTGCTTTCACTTCAAGCATCAGCTTGAGGACGGTGGCCTGAACTTCATCGGAGTGTGAGTAAAAATGTTTGTCTTTTGCCTCACTTCAACCACTCTCTTAAATTCTACAAGTGCATGTTAAGGGGCCCCAAACAGATTTCGAAAATTCAAACAAAAACGTTATTCTCTCCTGGTGTGTCTTTTCGGAACAATTTGTGACGCCAGCAGTGTGTTTACATATCGTCATGAGGGAAATAAGCTCTCGATTGGTACATGTACAAGGGAAGTCAGTTACGAATTGTCTTCTGGCCTACTGTGCTGCGCAGTCACATGCCCATTCTGCCTTGTCTCGCATGGCTATTATGCACGATCAAGTAATTTTACATCGCTTGTGCATTTTTGACTACGAAAGTCGAGATAACAGTGCGTAAACGAAAAGTGTGAAATCCTGATGGGCTGAATCAGGATTAGGAAGGATATTCTGCGCAAAGGTGTTCAGCGCGATTTCTTTCGTGAGCATCTCTTCTCTGCAGCCTAATGTTCACCAGCCAATATGGTTGTTGTCTTCACTTATTGCATTTCCACAGTTCAGTTGTAGCGCTACTCCACGTCGCAACACATGGACACTAAGGTCCACGGTCTTAGCCGGCGCCTTTGGCCTGGCTAGAGATGGGTGGCATATGTTCGAGGCACAAGCCCGGCATGCATAGTTAAGTTCTCAATGTCTGCATCGCTGGTCCCTTTGTCGCTCTTCTGCAACACCTCGTATCTCGGCAATAATGCCTCTGCCCCAAGAAGTGACCAGGCCCAACAACCTTACCAACCTCCTGCCTGACGCTACCTTGCGCCCAATGGACGTCGGAGCCCTCCAGCCTTGTCTGCCCTCGTCTGGCACAACACCCTGCAGTTTTGATTCACCCCTAATCGAAGCTTTGATCTCCACCGCATCTTTTCAGAGATTTATTGGTGTTGTCGCTTGCTTTGCAACTTGTCTCCTGAGGTGGCTTAAAAAGCAGCAGACTTCATAGCTGCACCATTGAATGACTCCCCCGTACCAGCAACTGAAACAGATCATTATTTGTGCCACATCATCTGCGAGCTCACGCTTACAGCACCTGCTTACCTTTGAAGAGCTTGATCATCGATGCACCTCTAAGCTGCTCAGCAGCATGTGGCATCTCCTCAGCTCAAGCGATGTCAACTCAAACAATGCGCTTTTGAAAGAGCTCTTCTGACAGCCCTTGCTGCTATCGACTTGTCTCGTCTTGCCTGTTACAGGAGACTTGACCCTTGATCGCCATGCCCAGCTTGACGATAGAGTCCACGATGTGACTGCTGATTTGGTAATTGCACTCTCTTTCGCACCAGAGACTTCAGCTGTGTCTCTCTTGGAGTCCAGAATTGACCAGCGCTGTGTTTCCTCACATCAAAGCTGCCGTTTGTCGCCGAGCATCTGCACGCTGATACCATCATGCCCATATGTTAGGATACTCGAAGACTTTCCTGATGTCGCGAACCTTGTAAGTTAAAGCAGCCACCCAAGTACGGTACTGTAACCCACCGTATTTGCTTGGCTGCATTGCTTCTTCGGTGACCGTCTGGCAATTGCGAAGCACGAATTCGACCACATGCTACAGCTTTGTATTATTTTGCCCTCCCCCCAGTACTTGGATCTCACCACCACATCTGGTGCCCAATGAAGAGCTAGATGACTGGTATCCATGCCAGGACAACTATTTTCTCAATTCTGATGCATTCCACGATATCTATTTCCTTCCACACATCCAATATTTCACAGGAGACTTAGAGGGATGCAAGATATTTAACAAAGTGTGCCTTTTCAAGATGTATCATCACATCCCAGTGGAACGTGTTAATATCCTGAATATGGCCATTACTCAACTCTTTGGCTTGTTGGAGTGCGTGCGCATACCTTTTGGACCGCAAGAAGCAGCTCAAACTTTCCGAAGATTCATTGCCAAGGTGATGTGCAGCCTCCCTGCTGTGTTTGCCTACATTGGCGATATCTTCGTAGCAAGCCACACTCCACAATGCTACGAGCCTCTCTTCCAATAATAATAATAATGATATCTAGACTTTTACGTCCCAAAGTCACAATGTGATTATGAGAAACATCGTACCCGAAATATTTACAATCTGGTGTGCGCAAATGTGCACTGACATCACACAGTACACAGGCCTCTGTCATTTCGCCTTCATGGAAATGCGACTGCCAAGACTGGGATCAAACCCGCATCCTTCGGCACGGCAGCCAAGCACCCTAGCCACTGTTCCTCCAACGGACTTCTCACCTCCGAGAACTCTTTCAATGTCTTCAGTAATTTGGTCGGGTTGTCAACCCTCAGAAATGCGTCTTCAGTCCTTAGAACGCGAGTTTTTGGGTCACCACATCTCGCCACTGCAAGTTCGTTTAATGCCCTTATGACATTCAAGCTGTGAAGGATGTCCCAGCACCTACTGCCCTTTGCCAGCTACGGGAGTTCCTGGGCCTCCTTAATATTTTCCAACGTTTTATTCCACACTGTGCTTAGCTTCTGAACCCACTCACTGGGCTCCTCTGCACACCCAAGAGCTCCGCATCCATGATTTCCTGGTCCTCGAACTCGAGCTGGTTTCATGGCTGCTAAACAAGCTGTAGGTGATTTGGTACTCCTCATTCACTTGAGGATTGGCGTGCCTACTCTCACAATGTTAGATCCTTCCAGTGTCACCATCAGCACTGTTCTTCAACAGAAAATTGATTCTGACTGGCATTCACTGGGTTTCTTTTTCTGGAAACTCCAGCTAGTCAAGACTTGCTGCAGCCCTTTGGTCGGAAGCTGCTCTCTACTGCACCATCGAGCATTTGCGGCTCATTGAACGGAACCGCTACCAAAAAGGCAATGAACACTGATTGGGCCTAGCCTGTGTGTTGGCACATTGTCGTGGGAAATTTATCCAAGACAGCATGAAGATCGAGCACTGAAAAGATTGCTCTCAAACACTGATCCAAGAGCAGCGCATGTGATATGAAGTTTGAGTTTGCGGCCAGCAGATCAACCGCAACAAGTCAAGCTTGTGCAAGACTATAAACTGGCGATAAATGTGAACGGCCGTGTCATAAAGCCATAAAGCTTTTAAATTTTCAGACGAGGTTGCAAGCGTGATATCTGTTGCGCGCTACAACAACACTTTTCCAATAGGAAACGATTGCATGTTCTATGGGGAGCGCACGGCCGGCTAGTAGCCGTAGCCACGCCGATGCTGATGCAAAGGGTTCTCCATCGCCTTGGCAGCCTGCCTCCTCCTACACTCGGCACAAGTGTGATACCTATGATGCACCGCCACCATGTTTTTCTTTTCTTTGCTTTCTCCTCTCTATCTGCCCCGCGTTCGTAACGACATCTTCGCTCTCTCTCTCCAGCGGCGCACCTCCTCTTTCTGAGAAGCACACTCGCTACCGCATTCGTCAGAAATGTTTTCAGGCAATCACATTATAATCGGTTTTTCATCTTGGGGGATCGCGCAAAAAGCAGTATGCGTATACATGGGTTTTTATCGGAGGATAAAGGAGGGTCATAAAAGACCACGTCGTAACCCGTTCCGAGCTATAAGCAGTTACGTTTTAAGTGGTCGGAAGTGTATTCAGTTGAATATTTTTCAATCTCATGTTTGCTTGAAAATGTTAATATATTCACAGAACAGTACAGTCCAATAGCTGTGTTCGTAAGTTACACTAGAGCATTGCAAAACTGCATGAAGATGTTCTTGTTCTATTGTTCAGTTCTTGTTAGCTATGAAGGAACTCAGTTGTTCCAAAGTGTTGCGTAGCTAAGTTTCCTGCACATTCATTTTGAGAATGATGTCAATTCATTTTCAAAATTTATTCTCAATCGTGCTCCATTTAAATCTCTGGCCTGTATGTGTTTATCAGCTGCACTGTATGTGTGAGCGTATTTTTTAGTGGATTGAATTTGGTGGCATATGAAGAAGTGAGAAAAGTGACTTATTTTGCCTTTCTTTTTTCTTTCCTGGCGTGTAGATGGATTAGTGGTGTGGCATCAGTCGAGCACCCCTTCATTTGGCTTGTCTGTGCCCAATTTGTCACAAGCCAGAGGTTGGCTTCACGGTGAGCGGCTTTGGCGTAAGGTTGATCATAATAAGACATGATTGCAAGCACATGATTGCAAGCGTATCCGAACAGAAACACGAAGAAGGAACTCGAAACCACGCTAGCATGGTTCTACGTTCAGCTTACTCGGCCTATTTCACTCAGTGCCTGATAGTGGTGCATCTAGCTAAAGCTGCCGTTGACAATTTTTTGTTCCCTAGGTACTCGTACTACATCATCACTTTGTTAGAGAGTTACTTTTGCATTTTGCACGTTACAAACATTGCCCTGTAATATCTTTTCTAGCCATAGTCGTTTTTGTATTCTGCAGGGCATACCTCACAATAGCACTTCTGCTTGCTGCTTCTTAATTACTTAGCAAGTACAATAGCATAAAAAAGTTGTTTTTTACGATTTCATAGCAGTCTTACAGTTACAGTGTAAAATTGAGTTATTTGGTATCGAATGTAACCAGACATTATTACAGGCATAAGGGCAGGGATGGGAAGAAGAAATGCAGGAACATGATAGTGATGCTCTGTGCTTGTCTAAATTGCATCTATAATTTCTGTTCAAGGTCCTTTAGAGATCCTGGAGTGAATTGCATCTAGTGTTTGTATAAAATATTCAAGAGATATTCAGCCCTTGCCCCCCGCTGTGTTCTTTTTCTTGCTTCTTTGGCTCCATGCATGCTGTGGCTTCTTTAAAAAAAATAGCCTTAGTTGTAAGTTATGCGTCTACATTCTAAACACCAGAAAATCCCGTAATACCTGCCACGCAGAAATAAAAGGGCGCAGGGATACCACCTGATATGTAGACCTTATACTAGCTGGACGCAATGGAAGTTTTGAAAACATCCACTCATGGCATGGTCACTATTGTTGGTCACTGCAGACAGAATGCTAAGCAGTACATATTTTAAAGTAGCTGGGAGCTCAAAGATTTTATGAACCTGTGCCACACCACAGCTGTCCAAATGAAAGGAAATACTACTTCCAAAAACTGAGAGATTGCAATGACGAACAGGGGCATTTGGCCAAAAAGTTCACCACATAGAAGATTGGTCTCCACTTGGTCTTGTAGCAATCGGTGATATTGCAAAAGTAAACGAGAATAGCATCTCGAAAAGGTGCTTTATTGCTCTAAATTCGTGTGACTGTGCAATTGTGTTCAGTAAAAAAGGGCCCCTGAATCTCATTTTTTCATTCATTTCACGACAAGAGTCTGCACTTGGGCATGTTTCGTGCCTTTAGGTAGCATGCCACTGTTCATTAGTCAACCACCTATTTGTACATTTCACTTACAATGTGATGACATCAAACAATAAGAATTTTTTATATTCACTACTAAAGCAGCCAGAGGTACTCGCTCGTTTGCTACCAGGACTGCCAGCATAACTGGTACCAAAGAAAGTGAACAGGGTTACAGCTGCCATCATAGCACAACTGTTGGTGCACCATGCACGCAGTGTGAAGGCTGTGTGTTCATTCAGCAATGTCTTCCTGTATTTTTAACAGTGAAGCTGTTTAAGCTTGCCGTAATTTGTGTCAACAGAAATGATCATCATCATGAAACGGCCTATATCCTCTTCATCTTTGTTGAAAATGTCTTAGTATACCTTGTGCTGTCACAGTAATAGTATAGTTGTAGTTGTAGTAGTGATAGTACATGCAGTTCTCATAACCGTCGGACAGTTCTCACAGCATGCAACTGGCCGATTTTTTTTTTTAACTTACGTAGTGTGGCTGTTCAGCTTTCCTTTGAGATGGCTCTTTGGTGGCTCTGGATGCAGGCCGAAAGACATATTTGTGGTGTGTATCCTGTCAAGCAAACCCATAACGGCAGCAAATGTGAGCTTTGGGAAGGCGCCCGAGGAAGTGCTCTTCTTCAACTGCCTCTGCCAGAGCCAAGCCAGCCTCCATTTTCAGCTGTGGCAGGGAGCAGCCGTCACCTCGGTGGCTAGGGTATGCAAATGCATGTTCCTTCACAGGGGTGCTGAGACAAAAATTTTCAGTCGTAGTTTTTTTCTGTCAATTGAAATGGCAAGCCCTCAATATCCTAGAAAATGTATTGGTTCATTTGAGTGTACCGTGAAAAAGTAATTACAATATGTTTTTAAAACCTAGTTTCAGTTCTTACTGTACCCTGACGTCACAACATGGTATGAGCTTCCCACCATATGCTTGCGCAGAATATCGTGACGTTTCCACAGCCACCATTTTGTTCCCGGCTTCTTTGGTGGTGCACAAGTAGCCATTTTGAATGTTTTTAGTCACATACACTTGGCCATTTTGAATGTTTTGGTGCCTGAAGTCACTACAACTAGCCATGCTGGTGCGGCAGGTCACCAGAATCGACACGGCGCTGTGGCCTGATGTCCTGCTAGTGTTGATGCTATTGGGTGCATCGGGCAAAAATTCACTTTAATGTAAAAAAAGAAGTGTGTGGCCAGATCCTCATCGCAACCATTGTTTAAAAGTGTAGCTGATGCCTCCTTTTTTAGTTTTGCTCACACTCACTCATGTCCATGAACCTTTTATTGGTTCACCCTTACCAATGAGTCTTGCTCTCGTCCATCTAGCATACCGCAGCCCATCCTCTCCTGCCGATTCCACTCTCGCCACGCTCTAAGATCTTGTGACCAGTGTCACGCCAACAGACGACCAAACCTCGACTAAGGGCAGCTTACGTGTTAATATAGTATCTTGCCAGCATTTACTGCGCTTCGCACTTGCGCAGAGCCATCCATGTGTACGAGAAATTTGTATGGTAGGGTTAACTCGTCTTCGAAAATTCGTGTTAGTGCACCTGGATGTCATTCTGCATATCCCAACTCTTGAGGCTGCATTAGTGTTCCATCATTTATCGGCAGTTGTGAGGCAGTTTTCTTGTGTGTCTGTGACCATACTGTCTTTTTGATTTGTCTGTTTAGTTTTGGATTTAAGTTTGTGGAGGCCCAGTTTCTTACTGAATGCAGTCAGGTAGAAAGGCGGGCGAATTTGATTTGATGCATCTTGTACCAAATCAGCACAAATAGGATCGATTACGAGAATAGGCGGACATAATATGAGCGCTGTCTAACAACAGAAGTCAAATGAAACAGCTCGTACTGTGTCTTTCCATTTTTGTGTTCTGTTATATTTGCACTGATTTTGTACACGCGCTAGTGAATAGTTTCATTTGTTGTTTTTATCTCCCATCTGTGTCTCACTTCTGTGTGAAGCCAGATAACTTGTAAAGTCACAGGAAAACGGAGATGAAGCCAATTGACAGAAGATGAATGAAGGATACTTTAAAACTGCAACCAGTATTTAGACAACAGTTGCAAAGAAAGGATCTGACAAAAACTAAGTTTCACTGTTGGAACACTGAGTCAGTAGGCATTTCTCGTTCAGCCACTGTAGATAATTTTCAGTGTGGAAGAGCAGTGTTTTCAATGAGTTGCAATTAAAAACGGGAAAAGTAACTTGGGTGGATTTAGATTTCCTTTACTTGTTATTCTTTCTCACAGATGTAAACCTTAAATACCACCAACTATACTCACATAGGTGTTGGAATGGCTAAGCTATTTTGAACATTTTTTTTTATGGCATTCTACCAGTCACACGTCAGACTTAATTTTATTTTTGTTCTTTTTCAGGTGCCATCAGCTTCAAACAAGACAATCAGCATGAACCTTGAAAAAGTACTTTCAGGATCTGCAGCTGAGACATTCCACTTGGCCCTGAAGGAGCTTGTGAAAAACCGGTTAGCCCCTTTTTAAATTTTTAAAATATTTATTCTATTGTTTAAGCAATGCCAAAGGGAAGCAATGAATCTGTTCAGAATCATAAGGTGTACTCTGAGAGCTTTAGTGTCATTAATTGCATTGTCATAAGTTTAATAATAGAGGAGAATATCAAAGTATCATTTTAAATTTTTTCACCAAAACTTCTGCATGCGACGTCACGGATTTCAAACTGTATTTGTTGTATTCAAACAACATTGGCTGAATAAAACTTTCTAAAGCTTTGTATGTCAAGTCTTTTAAAGAGGTCAATATCCCTTTAAGAGCGCACTAAGAAATCAATGCACTTCATTTTTACCGATTAGGTACGACATAGGCCGCAGCAGATGCTGTCAGAATCTATGACATCATGGCATTTGCTTGGCGAATTTCCCAGTGGTGTTACCACTTGCATTTTATTTTGGAACATTTTCTCACTTGCCAAGAGTCTCATTGCGATGAGCAGGTCATTTTGGAATTGTAAAAGAGTAAACTAGTGATTATAGAGACATCATTCTTCTTTTTAGTGTGTCTTCAAGCATTTGCATATCATGATTGAACTTTTTTTTCTGATTCCTGCTTCAGTATGCCACTGGTGGCGTCCCCGGAGCAGAACAGCAGCGCCGTGACTCGGGATTCGTGGGTTCCCACACCGAAGCCTGCAAGAGGCCAGGTGAAGGACAGCAAAATGATATGTCGTGTAGCGGTCCCTGGAAAGCGATGGCATGGGAGAATATTGGAGTGCGAACGAATAATTACAATTCTTGAATTTCACAGTATTCGAAGTAAACAAATACATGTACTTGTAATCCCTCTAAAGGGGCTTTTGTTGCAATGTGGGAATGCTGTGCTGTGAAACCACCTATTTGGGATAGATCCACGCTGTCGCAGAGTCACATTTGAAACTTAAATGTATGCATTACCTTCACGTAAATTAAATATATTTTGAGTTTGAAAGCTTGTTGTGTGGGGCTTATGTGCCTTAAGTATAATAAATTTTAAAACGTTGCATGTTTTACCGTGTATAACTTGCACTTGTGGGGTCTCCGCAAGGCCAACGAGCGCATCGCCAGGCCACGCTCTTAGAGTGAACGGACACTGCAGACGTGGTCGGTACAAAGCACACAACATACATACATTTATTAACTAATTTAGACAACGATATCGTCCGCCGAATGTTACATCCATTTTAATTAACACGCTACCATACAAACAACATAACGCAGTGACACACTAAACACTCAATAACATTATAAACACACACTAACACACCCAACACACTAACACATACCCAAGGTGGCGTCGCCACCGCCTGACTTTCCACGTGGGACCTCGGCGCGAAGCCCGCGGTGCCGAGCACCGGGGACCCACGCTACAGACAACCGCTCGCGGCAGCCGCAACGCGCAAAAGAAGCTCGCTCAACTCTCGCCCACCACCAAGGCCCGCCTTCCGCCAGGGGCCACCGCCGGCGCTACCACTCTACCAACAGTGGTACTCAAAGCGAACACAACGCCATCTATCACCCGGCGGTGGTCACCACCAAAACAAAGCCTTGGAAGCGAGACACGTGCGCCACGCGGTGCACACAACTTTACAGGGGGGGTGTCAGCACCCCTACACACTCTAGCGCTATTAATATCTTGCTCTTATTCAAAGTTGCTTACACTTCACTTCAAACTAAAAAAGTGACATTCGCTCATGGCTTGTTTCAATTCTTTTCTTAAAAATATTGTTCAAGTTAGTTAGGTCATGATAAAAATGCTAGTTTTTTTTAATAGTATGTTATATGCAGGGTGTTATTTTCCAAGCAATACAGATTTTTCCCTAAAAAACTATAATAAATACGCACTTGTCATCATCGCAGCCAATTTCTAGGCTGAGGCAAATTTGCCACTAATTAGATCACTTAGGAATGAAAGAATAATAAAAATAATTGAATTAACTTTTTATTATCAATTGGTTGTTTACATGGACAAATCACGGCAAGCCTAGTTTTTAAAAATTGAAAATATGTCAAGCATTTGTGTCTTGTCAAGTTGGATTTTCCAAGTGTGCTTGTTAGAATGTGCTGCAGTATTGGTATTCTTTCACTTTAATGTTCTGTAATTACAATACATTTTTCCTATTTTTCATGCAGCATCCAGGTTGATGTCTGCAAATGTTCTAGTACTGCGTATTCAGCTATGATTCTTCTTGAGCAATAGAAACAATATACAGGTAATAGCGTCAAAGCCCATTGCTTTAGGAGAATGTTTGCCGCAATGTTTATTGACGCAGGCCAAACCATTTCTCACTGCCTACGAAATAGTTTGCCTCGTTACTGCATGTTTCTGATTAAGTGGCACTTTGGTTTGTTTTCAGAACTTTAACATGGCTCCGATGGTACCAGACATGTCGGACTGCTCCATGGGTTTGTCGATGCATTCGAGATCAGAAAATGCTTCCTACGGAGCACACGCTCTAGCTTGCGATCCAAGAATAGACGTCTTGAACGCAGGTTCACAAGGAGGCTGCTTTGCCCAGCATTCTGATGCTTTACAGGACGCTCAAATGACTGTAACACCCATTCTCGGTGGACCGTCAACTCCTTTACAGATCTGTGGTGTTCGGGACTATAATGTTGTGGCCACAGATGCCCAATTTCGAGTGACCCAGCAGCAACAATGCGCACCTTCGGCTTCTACAACTGAGCGTCACGCAGCACCAGAGTCGGTGCCTGTTGGCGTCTATGAACTGATCAGACGCCAGGACGAGCAGTTACTGGAGCTCAGACTTCAGATCCAACGCCTCCTGTGTCCTTCGCAAGAACAGTCAGGGCCACCAATCCTACCTCTCCAACCACCGGCTAATGAGAATGGCAAGAATAATGTAAGTGAATGTTTCAGAGTTTTATTCTCAATGCACGTCTAAACAGACAGGAGCCTTCTTTATTATCGGTCCATTCCTAATGAAGCTGACAAAAAAGATGTCGTCTTGAAAACAGCGTCAAAGTGAAAAACAGCTGAAAAATTTCAGCTGCCTTATCAACTTTATTATTATGTACAGGTGTACTGCCAATACGTCTGTCAGAATGTAATCACGCCAAAGGGCACACTGAAGAAAAATGTTTTTGAGTAGTATCGAGAGACCGTCTCAGAACAAGATGTGATCTTTTGATCTTAAAGGAGCACTGACATCAAATTTTAAGATCGAGATGTGCCCATCACTCGATCGCTTGGTATGCATAGGTCTTCTTGGCCAAATTTGAACCGCATTTGTTGCATGGAAGTTATTTTAATTCGATGTCAAACAGCGTAGAAAAGCTAAGGAGAAACAACAGAAAATAGACTGCCCTGCGACATCGACACTAGTGCTACGTGTTCGGTGTAATATATTCCACAAATACCATCCTGAGTGACGATACCCTAGTAGTGATGACGTGTACGATCCGAGTGTTCTTATCCTGGCGCCGAAGCGCAGAAGCACACTCGCTCGTCGCATCTGATCTTCGTTGCGTCTGATCTTCATCGCACCGATTTTAATGATTTCGTGAAATTATGAAGATAAAAACCACCTTTAAAAGAGCGGCAAAAGAAAAGAGAATGATTAAACGTGTGCTTGTCGGTCAGCATGTCGGGGAATCGTTGTGAGTTGCAGTCGTCTAGTTCGAAGCCCGGAAAAAGCGCAGTGAAGGTGTCTTTTCATATCACGTATGTGTTACACATCAACACGACCACAAGCTATCAAAAGTGGGACAGCGTATAGTCAGATATCATCGCTAACAAGTAACACGCAGGTGTCGCTGAATTTTAGTGCATCTGTAAACTTTGTGTCCACGTAAAAGTGGTAATACCGTGTTAACCGCGAGAGACTTGATAGGTGGGGCCATCTGGAGGCGCATAAAAGAACCTGGCAAGCAGGAAACGTATTCTGTTTCTCCGCTGATGCTCATTCGCGATAGCTATATTACATTGACCCCTCTGCGTATACCTGAATGCTTTGCACGCGAAGACACACCAATATAGCTAACTGAGACACACGAGCGAACATGGCTGAAGCGTGCAGCCTCGGGCACCTCTGCGGTGCTGCTTGGAACGGCATTCATGTCGGAATCACTGTTCTGCAAAAGGTCGATCGAAGCAAAAATTATTCGCGATGTCGCGAACCGCGGGGATTCCAAGCTCCAGAATATCGTATTTAACCCGAGTCAACACTTTGTATGGCGACGACAGTAACGCAGGTGACAAGGCATGACTGAATGTGTCCGTCTAGCAGATGGAATGTTTGAGAAGCAGCTGAGCCTGACGTCACTCTTTTCTGTGGAGAAGTGGTCAGCTGTGGCGTGATCTGGAGGTGACCGCAAGGTAGCGCCAGGGCTGGTGCTCCCAGCACTAGAAATGGCGGGATTGCCGGCCCTTTTGAATATTGGTAGATACCAGCGATATAAATCAATAAAAGTGATAGTTATTCATTTCTCAGTTGCGTTTTAGGTCGCGAATAGCTGCTACAGGGTCTATAGCTACTTGCTGACGCAAAAATCTAGGCATGAGTAAATTTGATGTCAGTGCTCCTTTAAGTCTTTTCGGTGTTCCTAGATATCGTTTCAATATTGCCTTTAAAGGTCGCATTGTCTCTCCTTTATTTGAATTGCCAGACACGGGCATAACATAATTGACATAATGAATTAGAATAATCTCCAACCAACCTGGCTGCCTGCGTGATGCTCTTCGTGGATCACCCAGCATTGATATCATAACATATTTCAAAAGCGGAGACATCGATTTGATTTCTACATTCTTTATTTTCTCACATATGAAAGCAGTTCTCTCACTACAAATGATGAATTTGATGCTACAGAAGCCTAATCTTTCAGTCTAGTTTCATCAATGTTTTACTTTTGTGTAATCCTTAGCTGTGTTCCTCTGTTACTCTCTGTTACATTAACAACATGTGAATACTTCCTCACCCTTGTCTAATGTGTTTTTTAATATAGTATGCTGTACAACCACCTCCAGGATGAAAAATCACTCTTTGTGTCACATTCTTTGTTTTTTATCATGCTTATCTATTATTGCACATTGTGTTTATGAGTGTACATACATAGTTATCTCATTTGTTCTGTTCTACCTGTAAAGCATTCTAACTTTTTTTCCCTTTTTCTTCCTGCTATTACTGTGCTTTATCTACCTGGATTTAGAAACTGCCACCATGTACATAAACACTTGGGCACTTGGGCAGTTATAAACCTTTGTCAAGTGGTTTTATAACTGCTTTTTGCCTAAGGTATCACCAAGTCTAGTTGGAAATGAAAACTTGATTGATTGATTGATTGATTGATTGATTGATTGATTGATACAGGAGTGTGTGTTAAATAAGTAACAAATTGTCTGACTGTGCAATGAGACAGAACATTGTTACGTTGCTTTTACCATCATACCAGTGCTTGAAACGAAATCTTTTCCTTTTGCATTGTCCAGGAAAAGCCAACTTGCAACGCTGGCACCATGACGGAAGCTACCACACAACTGGTGCATCGATCTGTCCAAACAGATAAGACTGCAATGGAGAGCTCTTCCAGTGGAAAGGGCTGCTGTTTTTGCCCCCATTGCAAGCAAGAACAGCGTGCATCAGAAATCCCGGAACGCGACACCGATTACACCATCTTCTTTCCTGAAAAGTCCCCACACTTGGCGCAGCGGCTTACCCACAAGCCTAGTCCAAGAACACCACTTACCATATCACAGAGGTTGGTGCGACTGATTTCGTGCGGTGGATTGCAAAGTTGGCAGATAAAATGAAAGTTCGGGGTAAGGTTGGGACTTGAAAAGATGAAAATTTTCTCGCAATATTCTTTGTTGGAAGCTGCAACTGACTTTTTTTGCTACTGTTGAAGACAAGTTTGCTTATCAAAATGATGGCTCTAGTTATGCCTCCTGTTCAGGGATGTTTTCATTTCATGAAATTTTTAGCTGTAGTATAAGGTTGGCCAGTGTTCATTGTTGATGTTAGGATAAGCACAACATAAAAGCAGCTTACCAGTTCCTATTTACCGAAAGCAATCCTTTAATTCTGCTTTGTGTTCCTTGGAAAAGTTGTGACAGTGCCATCATAGACTAAACGTAAAGACTCTTGGCATTCAGTCCATCCTTAGAATCATTACATGCATTCATTACAGGCCTGAAACATGGGTAGCAATGCTTAAGACCGAGTTATCTTAAGCAAACGAGGTCTAGAATAATATAATTAATAAAAATAACCAAGAAACATTCATAGTAATCAACATAAAATTGCTAAACAGATTTTGAATACTTGCGGCTAACTCCCATACAGGTCAAGAGAAGGCACCATTGCCTCGCCACGTGCGCAGTTGCTTTTTACAGTGGAGCTCCTTCAAAACTACATACGGGGAAACGACCTGGCAGAACTCACTGCAAATGAAGCGTATCTCAACTGCTGTAACAAGGAAGAGATTGATAAGGCATAGCAAAAAGTAGTGCGCATGTGGCACACGAAGTTAGCGAATCTTCGTAACAAGATTGAGTACTCGTGCTGAGGATGCATACATGCTTGCCTTTAAGAAAAAGAAAAAGCATTGACGTCGTTGATGGTTTAGTGAACAGTGAAGGGAGAACTGTATTAACGAGAATGGCTGTTGACCCTTGCTACGCACTTACCTCCATATTGTAGACAGCCCTTCACACGGCACTCCACAGTGACTCAAGAATATACGTAGATAGCAGTTTCACCTTTCGGCAAAAATGTTCACTGCTTATTAGCGATAGCCGGTATTTTTTCGTCAGAACTCCTAAGTCATTTTCAGTCGAGCGGCGGCACTATACTCTGCTCAGTCATGTGAAGACTGGAATTTGAATTGAGGCTTGTTTTGCAATACGGAGGTTACTCAGGTTTTACAATGTAGAGCTGCATTATTTTTTTCTGCATCCTGCTTTTCTTTAGGGTGGCAGGCCACATGCTGAGGCGACAAGATGGATGACCAATCGCTGTATTAGTGAATGTGTGCAGGTTGTTGAAGTCTGGTGCTTTCTTGATGATATGACAAATTAGCTACAGTCGTAATGCAGCTGTGTCTATCTCTGTTTCAGACAACCTGCCGACTGTCTCCAGCGACCTGGGCTTGTGCACAGCAAGACTTCCGGTCTGCTGATGACGCCCACTGCTTCGTTTGGGGACGATCCCTCTCTGCTGCCTGACAGGTTGAAAAAAAGGTATGATGGTCAATGTATCTTAAGCATGTTTACTTTTCAACCGTGCCTTTTGTTACTGACGATGGAAGAAACAGGTGATGGGCAGAATGTATCAATAGCCATTAGAGAATCGTCTAGATATTCTCACTACGTAATCGGGTCGGCAACATAAGAAAAGTGGAAAATTTGGTGAGAGGCAGTACTTCTGATATGCGAGACACTGCTTTGATAAAACAAACTTTAGCACTGAAAATGCCATCTCGGTCTACCTCGGTGGATAAGTGGCTAGGGTGCTTGGATGCTGACCTGAAGGTCGCGAAGTTGGATCTCAGCCGTGGCGGTCGCATTTCGATGGAGGAGAAATGTTAGAGGACCATGTACTGTGCAATGTCTGTGCACGTTAAAAAACACCAGGTGGTCAAAATTTCTGGAGCCCTTCACTATTGCACTGCTCATAGTCATATTGTGGTTTTGGGACATAGAACCTCACGTATTATTAGTATTATTGAGAATACCCTCTTCATGCTCGCCTGCATGGCCAGCCTGTTAAGGTCCACTTGTGCTAATATAAACAGCTCTGGTTTTCACTCTCTTCACTTTTTCAGAAACTTCAACACATCCTTTACTTTGGAATCCATGCCTGAGATACGTGCTAATACTGTCCACTAAGATATGCATCAATGTTCACGTCGCATGATGTCGGTGGTTCTAGGTTTGCAACATTTCTCTTGAACTGAAAACCTATAGAAAGATATTTTAGCTTTGCTCCTGTCAAAAGTACAGTCTTTTTTTTTTTTCACTTTTGGTTTTCATTAAATTTAAAAAGGATTGCTGTGCGAGTTTGTGATCCATAGTAGAAAGTCACGCAGGGGCTACGAGTTGAGTATGAAGCAGGAGCGCGGTATTGCAGGGGAGCTTCCCAGGAAACAACGGCATCGTCTTCCGCAGAGACGTTCATTCATCCACGGTTGCAGTACGAAGAGTCCCGGCTGAGCGCTCAGCGGCGTGACGAGCTGAGCTTCCAGGTGGACCGCATCGCACACAAGTACTGCCCAGACGGAGCTGGCTTATCGGCATCCCCATTGGCCAAGGGCACGGTGCCGCTGTCGCACGATGCCCAGGCCTATCTGCAAAACTACGGACTTGACTCTCGCAGGGCACGAGACGACACCGTAGGAAGAACGGACAGCATGGAGCGCATTCTAGACATCAGCGCACTCAGGAGGCTGCCCAAGTTGCTTTAAGTCTCCAGGACAAGTGGTTTGTAAGAGTGTTGTACAGGTAAACATAAACTTCTTAGCGTTTTTAGAATTTTATCTTAATGTCTAGTTTATTACTTCTGATGAGAAGCCCTATTTGCAGTAACAGGGGGCTTTGTACGGGTTCCTGTGTCTTCCCAGTTCTATGTGATATTTTTTGGCTGATGTAGATAAGGCTTTGGACGATAATTTGAGTGGGGTGAAGATTTTAAAATTTTTCAGATACTGCTGATTTCTAAATTCTTTCGAACGAAGGGTTCATAGGTCGGCAAAAATTGTGGAACTCGCTTGAACTCACTCAGACTCGCTCGTGAAATATATTTATCCCTTCGGGCTGGTTCGGTCTTGAACTCGGCAAAATTTTTCTCAACCAGACTCATGGGGACTCGCTAAATTTTTCATGAGCTGGACTCACTCGGACTCAAGCTTGCTAAAATGTTACTCACTTAGACTCATTTAGACTTGCTGCTAGATCCGAGTTTGAGCAAGTGAGTCTGTTAGCGCATACACTCAAACCTCATTATAACAAACTTGCATCTAACACGAAAATAACTTCAATATATCCGAGAATTTGTTATAAAGGTATGTTCTTAACACTGTCTATTGCAAGAATATTTTTCATTTACTTTGTTATAACCAATATTTCGTTATATCTGGGTTCGTTATATCGAGGTTTGAGTGTAGTTACCTTTTTTGACCAGTGTGTCAATTCTTTTCAGCACCACTATCTTGCATAATCGGTGCTCTACTTTGCACCTTATGATTTTGTACTTATACAAGTTACCAGTGGTTTAAATTCGCTAAGGACTTTCTTATACAAAGAGATGAGGCTCGCATGCAATGTTTTTGTGAAGAACTTTGCATGAAAGAGTTTGTGTGTAGAAGTCACCTTCCTTTATAACTCGCACCTCTGATCAACAACTACTGAACTGTTGTATGTACGCTAGTGTGTTGAAGTACAGTGTGCGTAAGTACACGCGAGTATAAGCATGAGCCAATGTAATGCTGATAGTAATGCTGAAGGTCATTAGATAGGACCTTAGGTCGGCAAAAAGTGTGGAGCTAACTTAGACTCTCTCAATAAATATATTTCGCGCCAAGGGCTCACACGTTCTCTGTCTCGCCAAAATTTCCCCTAACTCGACCCACTAGGACTCGCTTAACTTTTTCTCAACTGGACTCTCTTGGACTCGAGCTTGCCAAAATTATTCATCCAGACCTCCTCTAACTCAGACCCATGGCTAAACATGAGTCTGATTGAGTCACCTCCTGAGTTTGCCAACCTCCTTAACCTCTAGACTGCGCCCTCCAAATATACTTCAGATGATCTTAAACATAATGGCTTTAGTACTTCCCCAAATGTATTTAAATGTATCTAATGACTCCAATCGGAGTGAGGTTAAGCTTCCTTTTTTTATTTTGTTTTCACTGTTTTTAAAGCGTATGGGTACAAACTAAACTTCATGGCCAAAATAAAGACGGAGGTCTGTATACATTTCTTAAACCTCAAGCTACAGTGGGACAATGACCACCTTTCCCGGTCTTGTCATCCTGTTGTAAAAAAGTAACTGTTGCAGTTTGATTCTGCTCATTTTTTAAGAGAGCTGTTGCTTTAGTTTTCTTAGGATCTGCATCAAGGAAGTCACACCCACAGTACATGCACGCTAGTTTTAATGATAAGGTCGGCTGATTGTTGGCTGCGGGCTTCCCTTGTTGCTCATACATATGGTTGCCGAGTGACGTATGCAGAAGGAGACATGAGGAACACAAAGGGATAGAGATGCTTGGAATTCTTCAAGTTCAGCGCCACAAGTGATGCCATAATTTTATAATTTCTCCTACAACCTTAGGAAGGCCATAGCAAGACACGATGTTGTACCGCAGTTTTTTCAATGCCTGGGAAACTCTGCAAGTTATTCCTGTGTATTTGCAATGAGAAGAAGTATTGTTAATGCATGAGAAGGCTTTCAGTAAGTGTTCCAGGGGTGTTGTATACTCCACTTCATTATCCCGCAAAAAAGTGTACGTTGGGCAAACTGAAAGGTGCCTGAAAGACCGACTAAGGGAGCGTGTGCAAAGATTAAAAAAAAAAAACTAAAAGATTCACACATCTTGTGGCACATGCTACAGCATGAGAGTCTGAGCTGTGGTTTTCAGATATACAGACTCTCGGATGAAGTGGGATATCACCTGCATGTTCGAAGCTTATTTTATTGGAAAGAATACAGACCAATGTGTTTGCAAGCCTTTTGTGGTTGTTTCTGCAGGAAATACCTTTTCTAGAAGCAAGAGTTCAAAGTGCTCGTTTTCCTCCTGTTATGTTGTGTAGTTGTCGCTTGTTGCTCATGCATTTCATGGTTAATCATGCTAATCATCGTTGATATTTGCAATTGCATATCATTGATTAGGTACTATATATATATATATGAGTTCTGTCATGCACAGCAAACTACAGTAGTCAGTGCTGTTTGTGGCGTTCATTCTCGCATGTGTGCATGTGTGAATGTGGGTTGCAGGGAATGCAAGTTGCACTAACTTTCTTCAATATGACAAGTATAAACATGATGTCGCTAATGTGTTCAAGTGCCTTGTTCTACCAACTGCAAAAGCTTTCACGGCCTAGCATCAGTGAGAACGTTACCTACATTCACTGTGGTGTTACCACAGCAAAGTGCTTACTTACAATGCAGTTATAGGAACGATACATTTAGTACAGATGAACAGCTTCTACATCGCAGCTCCAAAAGTTTTGCGGTCAAGTTTCTGTTTATATTACGTGTACGATCTGAATATGTAGCCTTTCAAGAAATTGTCCAACATGGCTAGCCAGATGTTCAGTTTAGCCACTGCACTTTTGTAAGTATAAAAGGTGTATATTGTTTACCATTTAGAAACTAAAATATTCAATAAATATACAAGTCTGCTTTTTTCAGTGTGGGGACTATTGTTTTGTAGCAATAGTTCGCGCATTGAGTCATTCTGATACTAGCAATTAAGAGCACATATCAGCAGAAACAAGAGGGGCCAAAAAGAAATGATACCAAAGGCTTTTCTTTCTCTTTTTGTCATTTGCACTAATATGCACTCTTGATCATGTTGTACCAATATGCCTGATCCTACGGTCTTTTGAGATGCTAATGATTTTTCAGCAACGAAAGGGTTTTGGATGTAGCAATTTATACATTGCAATTTACATTTGGAACTCTTGAAACAGTGCTGATGTTTCAGCATTCATGGGCAAAAGCTAACATATGTGTGATGCATGTAACGCCATGCACCAGTTCGCTTCATTGAAGGAGTGTGGAATACATAACTTGTATTGATGTCACTCTCGTCACCATCTTCAGGTATCAGCTAGTTGAGATGCTTTGTGAACTCTTGCTCGACCATCTGGAGCAAAAAACAGTGACATCAGATTAGCGCCGGTGCCTTTTCAATTCTTTGTGTACCCCTTGACGCGGCTGGCGAACAGTTAGGAAGTGGGGACAGCACAAAAGAATGCGAGGGATGAACAACTCTCTGTCGTCCCTTGCGCTGACACTTTCAATAGTCATAAAAAGTCATGGTGGCCGCCATCTTCAGGTACCCAGCACCGAGAACCTCTGTGACGTCATGTGCAACTTATGTGTAGCGGAAGCGAACAATACTTGTATTATGCGTCCTCAATTTGATGTCCTTTATAATGTATAATGCAGGTTGTCTCTAGTGAAAGTTTTAAAACATGCTGATGTCCTCTGACATCTCAACCAAGTGCATGTCGCATATTCTTTGTGTTCTGCTTAATCAATCAATTAGACAAGATTAATTATTAGCTTCTCAAGCAACGAATCCGAAAAAAAAATTCCGTGAGAAAGCTGGGTATGCTTTGGTAAAACATGTGATTAGACAGTCCCTAAGTGTTTTGCTTTTTACTTGGTATATCTGTGAAATACAAAAGTATGCCACATGATACATCCGCCTGCTCTCTGTGCATCGCACAGCCACCGCCATTGTCACTGCCCTGTCACCTCTTATATGCACAGCATGTTAAGAGCGAGCTTGATCCGGTGGCGTCCGCGCTCCACTCCACATGCGCATTGCCCTCTCTCTCTTTAGATCTCGCACGCTCTTCCTCTCTCGCCTCGCATTGCCTATGTAGGCAGCGTCTGCTAGCCAACGCTCGCTCTCCCCCCTCTTTCTATCAGGCGCTGCGCCGTGCTCCCAACTGGGCTGCAGAAATTAGACGCCTCCTTCTTACCACTACCACCACCCGTCTTCCTAGGGACACCTCCCAGCGGCATTTACTCGACCAAGGCTTTCTCATTCGCACTCTCTCTCTCTTTCTCTCTTATGATGTGTGTGTGTGTGTGTGTGTGTTTGTGTGAGAGAGAAAGAGAGAGAGTGAGATGCTATGATTACTGAGAGACGTGTCCTGGCTCATACCCCATGTTTATTCCATTCCACTACTTCCTCCTCGGCTTCTACTTCTAACTCCTAATCATCGCTAGGCTTCGTACGTTACAGGATTCCCCCTCCCCCCGAAAGAATGTGTGCGTTACCTATTACAATACATGATGAACAAGCAATCTTAGAGCACAAAAAAAAATGTCCAAATGGGCTGTAGTTTCACATCACATCGAAGTTCCGTAAGATTGCACGAAGACTTCACAGGAGAGGGCAGCAATCCGGGGTTATCAAGTACGGCTCCAGTGGGCGAGGCTGGCTGGCACGTTCTGGATAACATAAGCATGCTTTCAGCGTGGAAACAGATGGAAACGCAGCCTTCTTGCGAGGAATGAACGAGGTCGGAATGAGTTGCAGGATCGACAGTTTTGTTGGCCATTTTTCGCCGTGAGTGATACAAACGCCGTGCATGCAGTTTGCGTGCCCGTTGATCGTGACTGATTGGGCACTGCTTGTGTTCCTGCAGAGGTCAAGCGGTTGTTTTGTGGCGTTCAGGGTGTTTTCTATGGCGCAGAAAAGTTCCTTGGCTTTTCTTTCTGTGAAAATGGCTCAAATGCCGAATTGGTCTTTTCTGTAGTGGTCTTTGTTCGCGACATTCAGCTTCAGTTCTTCATTGTCCTTGTTGGGGTGGCCGTTTTAGCTGTTGAGCATCTCCTTGCTGCTTTTGTTGGTATTGCTGATGTTGCACTATCTGACGAGGTGAACTTCCTTTAGAAACATGAGCCGGCTTTTCTTTGTAGGTTGATGTGACCAGCAAATAGTT